GAGCTGGATGAACACAGCAGGCCAAGCAGCATCAGAGGAGCAGGAAGCCTGACGTTTCGGGCCTAGACCCTTCTTCAGAACCCTTCGTCAGCCTTCCTGCTCCTCTGATGCTGCTTGGCCTGCTGTGTTCATCCAGCTCTACACCTTGTTATCTCAGATTCTCCAGCATCTGCAGTTCCAACTATCTGTGAAACATGTTTCTAACCATGCTGGCTCTGCCTGAATACCTTGAACTTATCCAAGTGACCTGATATAAGGCCTTTAATAACAGCTTTTGACATTTTCTCTATTACAGAAGTTAAGCTAAATGGCCTATAATTTCCTGTGTGAGTTATAAATTTTCTCACAAGTCTGTTGTGCAGCTGTTATCAAATGCCTTTTGTAAGTCTATGTATACCACGGCGACAGCATTAACCACATTACTTTCTCTGTTTTTGCTTTAAAAAAATCCAGCAGGTTAGCTAAACACAATTTGTCCCGAACAAACCTATCCTGGCTTTCTGTAATTAGCCTACATTTGTCCAAGTGACTGTTAATTTTGTCTTTTTTTTGTTTTTAGAAGCTTCATCACCTCTGAAGCTAAATTGAACTGGTTTAATATTTACTTAAAATAACTAGCTGGAAATGTGTCAATATGTTAACATTGTCTACTGTGCAACACCTAGCAGTTTCATTTGTATCTTTTATCTCAGTCACACTATTATTCGAATCTCTCTGATACGGATTAAAAATACATTTTGGAAGCACGCAGCTCATTTTGAAAGAATTTGCTAAACACAGATGTGGCTGCTGTGTACAACATGATCTTAATGGTTGCTTACAAAAAAAAACTGGTTTAATCTTACATTTGAATCTAATTAAATTGATTATAATCTGAATTCTGGTTCAAAGATAAATATAATTGCTTATGTAACAATTTTGTAATATTTGAATAAATGTGTTATCCTTTCCCTAAGCATAAATCAACAAGTAAGGAGGTTTTCTGAAAGTATCAGGGCAAAGTCCTTAAAGATTTGAAATGCTGGTATCTCATCATTTGGTTCATCTCAAAGCCACATAAAAGGGTATTATAGTAAATGTAAGAAATTTTTATGAATGCTTTTACTACATTATTATCTAATAGTGTGTTTTTATAGGTGCCAAGTGCAGTATATACACAGTAAAAGTGCAGAAAAGACAAACATTTTACGCAGTTATTCATTGTTTTAAACGTACTTTTAAAAATCTTGGTTTAGAAACATGGTGCTTTCCTTAATTTAGAAACATATTAAACTCAGTGATATTACTTTCTGTCATATCTGATGTTAGCTTACAGACTGAGGTTAACTATACTAACGGTATTTTTCTCCCCAAGTGTGTAAAATAAATGAACTTCAAATAAAATAAAGATAAAATATTGACAGGTAAAAGGTTTTTGTTCATCTAAATACACAGAAGGAAATATATCCTGAGGTACAGCAGGTCATACTACCTGAAGCAACATGCTTAATTTAAAAGAATGACTCTTTTCATGTCTCTTTTGAACTTATCTATACACTCAAACAGACACAACAAAATGCTTCATAGGAATGAACTGCTTTATTACAAATTCTACTTTCAAGATGTGACAGCAGCTCTCACCAAAACATGAATCAATTGATCTCACCATGTGAAAGCAATTCAGCAAAAGCAAAGTGAGCCTGGCATTACCTGACATTCCCAAAAGAACAAGGCAAC